AATTATATATATACGTTCCCCTTCCCCTGCCCCCTTGCCCTGATAAAGAAAATACGTTCCCCCTTCCCCTGCAGCTCCCCTGGCAGAGATCATCGGAGCCCCGGACATGCACGTGGACAAGGGCTCCACCATCAACCTCACGTGCGTCATTGCCCACAGCCCGGAGCCGCCTGCCTACATCTTCTGGTATCACAACGGCAAGGTGGGTTGGCCGGAGATGCTGCTGTGGGCTGTCGCTGTCTCGGTCGTGTTCGGGGTTTTTTTTTGTGCTGTTCTTTCGTTTTTTTTGTGTGTGTGTGCTGTTCTTTGGGTTTGTGTGTTGTGTGTGTGTGTGTTTTTGTGTCTTTCGTGTTCTTTTTTGTCTTTTCTTTCTTTCTTCTGGTAGTTGTTTGTTTCTCTGTCTATTTGTCTCTGTCTGGACGTATATATATATATATATATATATATATATATATATATATATATATATATATTATATATACTATATATATATATATATATATATATGTATATATATTGCCCACAGCCCGGAGCCGCTGCCTACATCTTCTGTATCACAACGGCAAGGTGGGTTGGCCTGGAGATGCTGCCGTGGTGCTGTCTCGGTCCGTGTTCGTTTTTTTTTTTTGGTGTGTGCTGTTCTTTCGGGTTTGTGTGTGTGTGTTTCTGCGCGTATTTTTGTGTTTTTTCTTTCTTTCTTCTTTTTTTCTGGTAGTTGTGTTTGTTTCTCTGTCTGGACTAATATATATATAATATATATATATATATATATATATATATATATATATATAATATATATATATATATATATATATATATATGAATATATATATATATAATATATAACACTATATATATATTATATATATATATATATATATATATATATATATGAACATTATAACCTCTCCATCGGGATTCGATCCCTCGCGCGCCATGCACGTGAATGCAAGACGGCCGCCTCTACCACTCGTACAACGACCCACTAAAAGGAGTGAGGCAACTGGCGCTTACTAGCATCCATAGACATTAGCCTACCTACTCATACGATGCAGTAAGGATAGCGAAGTTTCACAACTCACTCCCCGTGGGCCACTCGTTATTTATGGACAGGCAGCGGACAAATCAAAAATCAGATACTGAGGGGCATTCTATGAAAGATGGAATAATGGCAATACGCATTTTTGATCATGAACTTAGAACCTCTGCGATCGGTGATTCGATCCCTCGCCCGCCAATGCACGTTGGATGCAAGACGGGCCGCTCTACCACTCGTACAACGACCCACTAAAAGAGTGAGCAACTAGGCGCTTACTAGAATCCATAGCATTACCTACCTACTCATACATGGAGTAAGATAGCGAGTTTTCACACTCACTCCCGTGGGGCACTCGGTATTATGGACAGAGCAGGACAAAAATCACAAATCAGATTAAAACCTGAGGCTGCATTCTATGAAAGATGGAATAAATGCAACCGCATTTTTTATCATGAACATTATAACCTCTCCGATCGGATTCGATCCCTCGCCGGCCAATGCACGTTGAATGCAAGACGGCCGCTCTACCACTCGTACAACGACCCACTAAAAAGGAGTGAGCAACTAGCGCGCTTACTAGCATCCATAGACATACCTAACCTACTCATTTACATGGTAAGGATAGCCGATAGTTCACACTCACTCCCCGTGGGCACTCGCGTATTTATGGACAGAGCAGGACAAATCACAAACCAGCATAACCTGAGGTGCATTCTATGAAAGATGGAATAATGCATACCGCATTTTTTACTCATGAACATTATAAACCTCTCCGATCGGCCGATTCCGATCCCTCGCCGCCAATGCACGTGAATTGCAAGACGCGCCGCTCTACCACTCGTACAACGACCCACTAAAAGGAGTGGCAACTAGGCGCTTAGCTAGCATCCATAGAATTACCTACCTACTCATACATGAGTAAGGATAGCGAAGTTTCACACTCACTCCCCGTGCGTGCACTCGGTATTTATGGACAGAGCAGGACAAATCACAAATCAGAATAACCTTGAGGTGCATTCTATGAAAGATGGAATAATGCAATACGCATTTTTTATCATGCAAATTATAAACCTCTCGATCTGGGATTCGATCCCTCGCCGCCAATGCACGTGAATGCCAGACGGCCGCTCTACCACGCGTACAACGACCCACTAAAAGGATGAGCCAAACTAGGCGCTACTAGCAATGCCCACTAGACATTACCTACCTACTCATACATGAGTTAAGGATAGCGAAGGATTTCCACACTCACTCCCCGTGGGCACTCGGTATTTATGCGACAGCAGCAGGACAAATCACAAATCAGAATAACCTTGAGCTGCTTCTATGAAGATGGAATAATGCAATACCGCATTTTTATGCATGACATTATAACCTCTCCGATCGGGATTCGATCCCTCGCCGCAATGCACGTGAATGCAAGACGGCCGCTCTACCACTCGTTACAACGACCCACTAAAAGGAGTGAGCAACTAGGCGCTTACTAGGCATCCATAGACATTACCTACCCTACTCATACATGAGTAAGGATAGCTAAGTTTCACACTCACTCCCCGTAGGCACTCGGTATTTATGGACAGAGCAGCGACAAATCACAAATCAGATAACCTGAGGTGCATTCTATGAAGATGGAATTAATGCAATACCGCATTTTTATCATGACATTATAACCTCTCCGATCGCGGATTCGATCCTCGCCGCCAATGCACGTGATGCAAGACGGGCCGCCTCTAACCACTCGTTACAACGACACTAAAAGGAGTGAAGCAACTAGGCCGCTTACTAAGCATCCATAGACATCTACCTACCTACTCATACATGAGTAAGGTAGCGAGTTTCACACTCACTCCCGTGGCACTCGTATTTATTGGACAGAGCAGACAAATCACAAATCAGATAACCTGAGTGCATTCATGAAAGATGGAATTAATGGCATACGCATTTTTTATCATGAACATTATAACCTCTCCGATTCGGGATTCGGATCCCTCGCCGCCAATGCACGTGAATGCAAGACGGCCGGCTCTACCACTCGTACAACGACCACTAAAAGGAGTGAGGCAACTAGGCGCTTTACTAGCATCCATAGACATTACCTACCTACTCATACATGAGTAAGGATAGCGAAGTTTCACACTCACTCCCGTGGGCACTCGGTATTTATGGACAGAGCAGGACAAATCACAAATCAGATAACCTGAGGTGCATTCTTATTGAAAGATGGAATAATGCATTACCGCATTTTTTATCATGAACATTATAACCTCTCCGATCGGGATTCGATCCCTCGGCCGCCAATGCACGTGAATGCAAGACGGCCGCTCTACCACTCGTACAACGACCCACTAAAAGGAGTGAGCAACTAGGCGCTTACTAGCATCCATAGACATTACCTACCTACTCATACATGAGTAAGGATAGCGAAGTTTCACCACTCACTCCCCGTGGGCACTGCGGTATTTATGGACAGAGCAGGACAAATCACAAATCAGATAACCTGAGGTGCATTCTATGAAGATGGAATAATGCAATACCGCATTTTTTATCATGAACATTATAACCTCTCCGATCGGGATTCGATCCCTCCCTCGCCGCCAATGCACGTGAATGCAAGACGGCCGCTCTACCACTCGTACAACGACCCACTAAAAGGAGTGAGCAACTAGGCGTTTACTAGCATCCATAGACATTACCTACCTACTCATACATGAGTAAGGATAGCGAAGTTTCACACTCACTCCCCGTGGGCACTCGGTATTTATGGACAGAGCAGGACAAATCACAAATCAGATAACCTGAGGTGCATTCTATGAAAGATGGAATAATGCAATACCGCATTTTTTATCATGAACATTATAACCTCTCCGATCGGGATTCGATCCCTCGCGCCAATGCACGTGAATGCAAGACGGCCGCTCTACCACCTCAGGTTATCCTGATTTGTGATTTGTCGCTGCTTCTGTCCATAAAATACCGCAGTGCCCACGGGGAGTGCAAGTTGTTAACTTCGCTATCCTTACCATGTATGAGTAGGTAGGTTAATGTTATGGGATGCTAGTAAGCGCCTAGTTGCTCACTCCTTTTAGTGGGTCGTTGTACTCTGGTAGAGCGGCCGTCTTGCATTCACGTGCATTTGGCGGCGGGGATCGAAATCCGATCGAGAGGTTATAATGTTCATGATAAAAAATGCGGTATGCATTACCATCTTTCATAGGAATGCACCTCAGGTTATCTGATTTGTGATTTGTCCTGCTCTGTTCCATAAAATACCGAGTGCCCACGGGGAGTGAGTGTGAAACTTCGCTATCCTTACTCATGTATGAGTAGGTAGGTAATGTCTATGGATGCTAGTAAGCGCTAGTTGCTCACTCCTTTTAGTGGGTCGTTGTACGAGTGGTAGAGCGGCCGTCTCTTCACGTGCATTGGCGGCGAGGGATCGAATCCCGATGGAGAGGTTATAATGTTCATGATAAAAAAATGCGGTATTGCATTATTCCATCTTTCATAGAATGGCACCTCAGGTTATCTGATTTGTGATTTGTCCTGCTCTGTCCATAAATACCGAGTGCCCACGGGGTGAGTGTGAAAACTTCGCTATTCCTTACTCATGTATGAGTAGGTAGGTAATGTCTAAGGATGCTAGTAAGCGGCCTAGTTGCTCACTCCTTTTAGTGGGTCGTTGTACGAGTGGCTAGAGCGGCCGTCTTGCATTCACGTGCATTGGCGGCGAGGGATCGAATCCGATCGGAGAGGTTATAATGATTATCATGATAAAAATGCGGTATTGCATTATTCCATCTTTCATAGAATGCACCTCAGGTTATCTGATTTGTGATTTGTCCTGCTCTGTCCATAAATACCGAGTGCCCACGGGAGTGAGTGTGAACTTCGCTATCCTTACTCATGTATGAGTAGGTATAGGTAATGTCTATGGATGCTAGTAAGCCCTAGTTGCTCACTCCTTTAGTGGGTCGTTTGTACGAGTGTAGAGGGCGTCTTGCATTCACGTGCATTGGCGGCGAGGGATCGAATCCCGATCGGAGAGGTTATAATGTTCATGATAAAAATGCGGTATTGCATTATTCCATCTTTCATAGAATTGCACCTCAGTTATCTGATTTGTGATTTGTCCTGATCTGTCCATAAATAACGAGTGCCCACGGGGAGTGAGTGTGAAACTTCGCTATCCTTACTCATGTATGAGTAGGTAGGTAATGTCTATGGATGCTAGTAAGCGCCTAGTTGCTCACTCCTTTTAGTGGTGGGTCGTTGTACGAGTGGTAGAGCGGGCCGTCTTGCATTCACGTGCATTGGCGGCGAGGGATCGAATCCCGATCGGAGAGGTTATAATGTTCATGATAAAAAATGCGGTATTGCATTATTCCATCTTTCATATATATATATTATATATATATATATATATATTATTATATATTAATGTGAGTGTGTGGGTGTGATATATTCCATGGCTAAAGCCCATCCTTATTAATCCTTAGTAATACAAAATATTAGATAATTTGTAGATATCAACCTTCTGTTATTCTTTTGCAACAAAACATTGACTATAATATAGGTTTTAATTAGAATGTCTCACGCTAACAAAATCAGAGGAATTGACAAAGAATATGAATAATAAGTTCAGATTTTCCCATAACGGAGCTTGCCTGCTGGGTCGCCGGAAGTGTTAAGAACGCATATAGAAACAAAGAAAGAAAAGGAGAGGGGAGAGAGAGATAGAGATAGAGAGAGAGAGAGAGAGATAGAGATAGAGATAGAGAGAGAGAGAGGAGGGAGAGGGAAGAGGGAGGGAGAGAGAGAGAGAGAGAGGAGAGAGAGAGAGGAGAGAGAGAGAGAGAGAGAGAGAGAGAGAGAGAGAGAGAGAGAGACGAGAGAGAGAGGAGAGAGAGAGAGGAATGAGAGAGAAAAGAGGAGAGAGAGAGAGAGAGAAAGAAAGAGCGAGAGAGGGGGGGTGAGGAAAGAGAAAGAGAGAGACACAAAGAGATAGATAGAGATAGATAGATAGATAGAGAGGAGAGAGAGAGAGAGAGAGAGAGAGGGGGGGGCGGGGAGGGGAGGAGGGGGCGAGAAAGAGAGAGAGAAGAGAGAGAGAGAGAGGAGAGAGAGAGGAGAGAGAGGAGAGAGAGAGAGAGAGAGAGTCAGAGACAGAGACAGAGGGGGAGGATGAGGGGAAAGAGAAAGAGAGAGAGGGGAGAGAGAAGAGAGAGAGAGAGAGAGAGAGAGAGAGAGAGAGAGAGGAGAGAGAGAGAGAGGAGAGAGAGAGAGAGAGAGAGAGAGAGAGGAGAGAGAGAGAGAGAGAGAGGAGAGAGAGAGAGAGAGAGAGAGAGGGAGAGAGAGAGAGAGAGAGAGAGAGAGAGAAGAGAGAGAGAGAGAGAGAGAGAGAGAGAGAGAGAGAGAGAGAGAGAGAGAGAGAGAGAGAGAGAGAGAGAGAGAGAGAGAGAAGACAGACAGACAGGCAGAGAGAGAAAGAGAGAGAGAGAAAAAAAACCCTCGCAGAATTATGAATAGAACAAAATGATATCACAGACATTATTTTAACATCGATTATAATCTTAAATGCTTTGAAAATGTTAGCAATTATATCAATGTATGAGAGCCAGACACGTGTTCTTTTTATTTCTAATTAATAAGTACAGGATAAAACTGTTGTTCACAATTTATAAAGGAAATTAAACACAACTCGTGTAAAAAGATCCCATTTCAACTTTAATATATTATATTGTAGACATACACACGTGCACCCGTACATACTTGTAGACATGCAAGAGTGCTCAGGTATTAATATATGATTATTTATACAACAGGTAAATAAATATACAGATATAGAGGGAGAAATGGAAAAAAATAGATTAGATTAATAAACTTGGAGACACGTACACATATACATACAATGATAAGTATTGGGAATTTGGGGACATACCTAAAATGACTTCAACTCAGATTACTGTTTATTGTGGTCCTAAGTAATCCCATGTTGAAAGGAATAGCCAGGATTACCGTTCAATGACAGCTAGGGATTTAACTCGGGTCAACAGGATTGCCGGTTGAACGTGTTGCCATTGATGTAAAGGCACACATATATATGTATACGTTTGTGAATGCTTGTGTGCCGATAGGTATGTCGATAAAGATAATTATGATAATTACTCTTTTTTATTATTACTATTGTTGTGGTTATTATTATCATTATTATATCATTATTGTAATTATTACTTTTCATTATTATTATTACTATTATCATTAATATTTAATAATTATCATTACTTCTATTATCATTATTATCATTATAATTACTATGATTATTATTACTATTATTATCATTATCATTATTACCATAATTATAAATTTTGCTGATGTTGTTGTTGTTGATGTTATCGTCACTGTCATTGTTTCCATCACTATCATTTTTATTATCGTTATTTTCGTTGCGAATTCGTTAGATTCACTAGTATTACCATTATCCATTAACAATATATTATTATTACCATGCAAACATGCCATAGAATAACTTAATAATCACCATTATCGATCGTTTTCTCCTGTCAGATATCCTACTTCTATTCCTAATCAGATAAACTTCTATGAATTTATCTCCTGATAACAAGTTACACGTAGTTCGTTGCATTAGCTGAAGTTTATGGGGCAGCGTCACACACTAAGTTTAAATAGCCTGTTACTGATAACATAAACCCAATTTGATTTCGTCATACCCGTGAGTACTATAGGCCTCTTTTAGGAAAGGCTGGCTTGGTGGGAGGGAGAGACGAGGGGAGTTGATTTTCTCTCTCTTTTGTCTGTCTGTCTGTTCTCTTCTCTGTCTGTCTGTCTGTCTGTGTCTCTCTCTCTCGCTCTCGCTCTCCGCTTCGCTCGCTCTCTCTCTCTCGCTCTCTCTCGCTCTCTCTCTCTCTAAATCGTCTATATATATATATATATATATATATATATACTATATAATCATATATATATATATATATATATATATATATAATATATATATATATATATATATCCCCCCTCCTCCTCCTCCTCCTCCCTCCCTCCCTCCCTCTCCCTCTCTCTCTCTCTCTCTCTCTCTCTCTCTCTCTCTCTCTCTCTCTCTCTCTCTCTCTCTCTCATTTGCATTTATTTCTGCTGTCCTTTCTCCTCATGCTTCCTTTCCGTCTCCCTTTCCAAGATACTATAAATAGGTATAAACACTCCATCAAGATGAAAATACTAGTTGGCAACTTTTGAGCTAAGCCCCGCCTCATCACCTTTATTCATTGCAAATAACTTATTTTTTTCTTGGTATCTTTTCAATATTTTTTTGCTATTGTTAATAGTGAATCATCTTCAGAGAAAATGTAATGCAAAACACTTACCTTAAAAAAAATCACACAAATTGTCCACGTTAACAAAGGGGGTTGGAACTAATGACGTCACCACGTTTAGCCAATGAGAATGCGCCGTGAGATGCCAGATATCGCAAGATGCATATCGATTTGTATAATTTTCTCGCTATGGTTATAATCATCCGAAATAAACCCAAAATCCCTTACATTTATTTACGATAACGAAGAGTTCCTTACCATTAACAACCGTCAGAATGCACAAGGAAAAGAGTCAATTACATTTTTAAATTCGAATAGAGGTGAAACTACCTAGTTAAAGGTTTTTTCCTTTTCCCTCTCTCTCATCTTACAATTTTTAGCCTTCAAATGGAAGGTAAACAACCTAATTAAACATCCCTTACCTCTCCCTCTCTCTCTCATCTTCCCTATACTACCCTCTCATCTTTTATCTTTTATTTATCTACTCTCTTATCTCCACCACAGGTCGTGAACTACGAATCCCCAAGGGGCGGTGTGACAGTGACGATAGAACGAGGCAACACATCCCGCAGTTCCCTCATGATACAGGTTTGTCCTTTTTCAATCGTAATTTCAATTTTTCTCTAGCTGTTTATGCACACATATTTACACAGATTTAGTATATATATATATATATATATATATATATATATATATATATATATATATATATATATATATATATATATTATATATATATATATATATATATTATATATATATATATATATATATATATATATATATATATATATATATATATATATTATATATTATATATACATATTACACACACACACACACACACACACACAACACACACACACACACACACACACACACACACACACACACACACACACACACACACACACACACACACACACACACACACATATACACACACACACACACACACACACACACACACACACACACACACACACACACACACACACACACACACACACACACACACACACACACACACACACACACACACACACACACACACACAACACACACACACACACACACACACACATCTGCGCGTGTCTGTGTGTGTGTGTGTGTGTTTTAAGATATAATACACCCAAGCATTTTTGTGTGCATCTGCCAAGTGCATAAGCCTGCATACACGCTCAAACATTATATTTGTTCAGATTTGCCAACTTGCAAAAAAAACTCTTTCGCACAGCAATAGGACACTGGCAGTAATGGTTCCTCTCATTTCTTTATTTCGCTTGATAATATTGTTTCAAAAAAGGTGCATCCATTTTCTTTTTGCATTCTCATTTTTTCCCAAATAGTCCTAAATCCTCTTTTTTTTTTTTTTTTTTTTTTTTTTTTTTTTTTTTTTTTGCCATCGTGGGAAAAAAAATATATATATTGTAAACCGTAAGCCGAAAGAGAGAAATGAGAACTCAGAAACGGCTAAAAGCATAGCGATGTTCGGTTGCAGCAGAACACGGCCGGAATGGCGCGTAGAATCCGGAAGAGGAAGATCTTGAATAATAGATATAATCCTCTCTCTCTCTTTTTCCCGGAATTTATTAATGTTTTGGTTCCCAGTATGGTTTGCGGGTGTACGGGA